ATATATATATATATATATATATATACACATACACAATATATACATACACAATTTGAAGGCTTCATTAGGGAGATTCCGCAATTATAAAATCTTTATACTAAAACAATAACAATTATGAATCTTCATTATGTGAACATTCGTGCCTAAAACTTTTTTGATAATACATTGTGAGTTGAATATAATCATTGATTTATGTAAAAGGCATGCTACTGTAGGATTGACTAAACGTTTGATGACACAACCGTACTACACAACTTTTTTAAGCTTGTGAAACCTCCCTGTTGTCTTTAAAGAAAGGTATTTGGTAACCTAGTCCAGAGTTCAAAAGCAGTTACTATAATAATCTATATAACAATATTGTATAGTCTATATTCTATGGCTTGAATAATTAATAATTAGAAATATGGTGTTGGGTAACCTATTTGAGTAATCCCCTCATGTCAAGATATGGAATATATTGGTATTGGCTAATACTTAAGCTCTATAGCATATGTATTGATTTTTGCTTAATATTTATAAGCATTACATACATATATATTTACTTTGTTAATACACTATATAGATATACTGTAGTACACACAAACATACATACATTGAAAGACGAATTAAAAATATCATATTTTACAGTACGAGTACATTCCACGTACTGTAGTACAATATAGTGAAAATATATTTCGTATATGAATCACAGTTTCGCTCCTAATAAACACGCATAAGCTGAGAACACATACAATTGGCCCCTTATTTGCACTATATAATACTAACTCTACAATGTCAAACAGTTATAATTTTAAGGCTTTATCAAACACATTTTGATAGCTTCTTTCTTCCACTAAAGACATAATAAACACCATCTATTCTATAAAATACTAATAGCTAAAAGGCATTGCTACTAGTATGTCACTTTAAAAGAGTACATATTTTTTTCTCAATCATCATTGATGGGTGGTTTCAGCTGTGTATGGGCAGTCCGTGGCCATTGATAAATCGCAGGGAATAAAACAAAGGTTACTGAATCATTATCAAGTTAAACACTTTTTTTTTTTCAATCTGATGTTACTAGACAAGATTACTCACTTTCATTAATGATTGATTATATGTTCATGTTTTAAATGTCACACAAACTGAGGAAATTATAATTGTTTCAATAACCACCCATTAAACACTCTTACAACATATGCTACATTTTTGAATCAGTGATAATAAATATTTATTATATATATGATTTCATAAAACATAACAATATATCCTCATGGGAGTGTGTGCAATGGACCATTTTGCTAAGCCATGCCCCTTGGACACTGTTGCTAAGGTTCCACAGTGGGTATCTGTGGCTCTGTTCTGATTTGTCAGTTGTCCAGTTTGATTCACACTATAGGAAATACTGCATGCATAATATTAACAATCACAGCTTTGAATTTGGAAGTTTTACACTTAAATGCATGCTTTACTATCAATATAATGCTATGCATGCATATTTACCCAGTTTTCAGATGGTGAAAAATTAAGTTTTATCCCCACTATCCCATTTGGGTGTAATATGACATCATCACACCAATATATGGACATATCACAAACTTGTCAGGCCAAAACTTGATAGTGTGTACTGAACTTTACCCATATCGACAGCAACTTTGTTAAATGCACAGTTCTGAATATTACAGGGTTCTATGGGTCCCAATGGCCAGTGGTTGGTGCTGAAACGATAACGGAGGCTGACTTTTATACTATAATATACGCTACAATCACACACTGATTGTTCAGGACCTATATGCATAGTAACATTTACACAATAACATACAAAAAATTAATCTAGATCTTAAAAAAACTCTGTACATTGGCAGTTATATTTTCTGCATCATTATTTTTCGTTTTTCACTTTGGGATAGCTTGTTTTTGGACTTAATCTTATTAAGCAGTTAAGGATCAAAAAAAAAAAATAAATAATGGAAAAAAAGGAAACAAATCACTATTCTATTAGAATTTGTAATATATACTGTAAAGAAACTGTCAATATTATAAACAAAAAGGTCAAAACTTAATATTCACATAATCTGTACAATATTATATTTTTGTAAACAAAAACTGTACTCAGTCCAATATTTGTTAGAAACAAACTTTAAAAAATTATTGCAAACAACATATACAAAAATGGACAATAAATTTTCCACATTTACAACAAACTACACTCATCTTTATATACTATTATCAAGGTACGCTGGTGCTGCCTCATCAATGACAAAATATTTTTGCTGAATTTTAAAAGTGAAAACAATAAAAAAGGCATAAAAGGTCAAAAACACGACATCATCTTATACTTTTTTTTCATTTTTTGATTCATAGAAAAATAAATATTTCAAAATCGTTTGCAACATGTAAAAATGTGATAACACAAACTACTGTACTTGGGAACATGCATACTATACTATGAGCTACCACTACATTAATAAAGTATATGTTAAGAATATCAGTAAAATATGTATAAGATGTACAGTATTCAAGTTTCAACAAGTGTTAGCATTGTTTATATACTTATTTTACCCTTTGATTTTTTTTTTAAGCTATGTCACAGATAAATTCACTTAAATTTACTGATCTGATAAATATCATGCAAACACGTTTTATCTATTATATTACAATTATCTGAAATAACTTTTTTTCCTCTGCAACTGCACACATTGTTCTTTTGAAATTCTGATATAGCTTTAGCCTTGGATTATCATTAAAATTTATATGAAAAACGTAAGTTAATCATGATAGTTCTTTACAAGTTGGAGTATTTCTTTTTAAGTTACAGAACTAAATTACCATCCATATTTTTTTTGCAACTGTACATATTGTTAATGTTAGATATTAATATATATATACATACACACACACACACACACATATATAATGTGATTCCTTATTTTAAAGATGCAAGAGAATGACAAAATAGATTATTGGAAAACAGGACACTTTAACACTACAGAATCTTTAGTTTTAGTATAAATGGGATGGATTAAAAAAAATGCGGGAGAATGAAAGAGATTGATTGGTGAAGAAAGAACGCACATTACATGATATACCAATTTCCTTCTGTATAGAATGTATGTATTTTAAATGTATTTTTTTATATACTAATGTTTTGTTAGTGATCACAAACTAATCAATTTTTCGAGAGCCACTATTATAAAAGTGTAGGCTTAAATAAATTAAATAATTTGTTGGCACAGTCTCTATATGCAACTTTATATTAAAATGCCTAATACATGAAATTCTTGGCACTCACTTGTGCATATGTCATTAATAAAGAGGATGTTGTTTGCTGTTATAAGCCTCAAAGCATACTATTGTGATCTTTGGATTGAAATTACAAACAGTTTAGATAATTATGTGGGGCAATGTCAAAGCAATGACGCAGTTGAGAGGAACTTTCAATAATCTTGGTCAAAAGTACCGTCGGATGTTGTTGATGGAAAGAGGATTATCTCCTATTGAAAATGTCTCAAATACACAAAATCATTCAGTAAATTTCAACAGGATTCTATATTTTCTCAAACACAGACAAGTTTTGAATGGAATTTTAACAAATTTAAGATAGTGATGATATATTTTTTTTGGAGCCAGAAACACAATGCAAGTTGTTATAACTTAAATGAATTAATATCTATTGCACTGCACTGACCACAATAGGGGTGTGACAATCAGTTTTCAACGACGATCTGCTCAGATTAAGACTGGCCGAATATTTTAATGATAATTTTTCAAGAGCAAGAGCAAGTTGCTATAATTTAAATGAATTAATCTGTATTGCACTGCACCGAACCTAACAGATCGACGGGCATGTATTTTTCAAACAATCTGCTTAGATAATAACCAACAGAAGATGGTACCACATTTCTAAACGCTCATACAGGGCAGAGCTCAATTTGTCACCCAAAAGTCAGCACGACCATAGGCCTATGCAGTGTGTGTCTAGCTTAACATCGCAAAGAATACAATACTAAAGGATATTACATTATTTTTAAATTGAAATAACCTAATTTGATGCATCCTAAGTTGTTGCCAAGTCATGAGTGTCCAACCAAACAGAACATTGACGTAAAGTATGGTGCAAAATAAAATCCAAGCTGACTGAATCACTATCACATGATAACTTATTACATTGATGGTGAGCGTGTTGGCCAATTCTGATAGTCATGCTTTTTTAACTTTTCTCGCTGTTTCTTCGCATCTGTTTTATTTTTGCCTTTTCCTTCTTTCCCTTGCTTCTTTCCTTTCTTCTTTTCACCTTTGTTATTGTTTTTACTACTCTTTTCTTTCTCCATCTGTCTTCTATAGTCCCGTGCGTCACCGTTTAACGTGTTGGATTTAATTTTCATTACGGATGATCGGGAATTTGCCTCAAGGCGTACCTCTTCATACATATGATCTGACTGGCGCACTGACGTCTTTAGAGATGGTGATGATTTTGATGCTGTGATCTTAGTCGTCTCGCCATCGTCATCATCTGCCATTGACTCATAAGTATGATGTTTGCGTCTCCAGAAATTTTCTGGAGTTTTGATAGATTCAATATGAACCATATCCCTTGGCGGTTCTGTACTCATCGTAATTGGCGCCTTGTCATCTTTTTCACTAACTGCTTCGTATAAATGCATTGTCTCCTTATTTTGATAAGATTGATGAGTGGCATTCTGGGAAGAATTTGGGGAATGGTCATCGCCATCTTTACATTCTTCGATACTCTGGTACCCTGTCTCTCTGACCGGAATGCCCTCAAAGCTTCCTGTAGAGTCACGAGAGTTGTGACCCTTCACCTTTGGCCTTGCTCCTGTTCCAGCAAAAGGATTTTCGGACGTAGAGTTTCCTTGGCCGGCTTTCTGCTTATTTTTGCCGTTTTTCTCTACCTTGGCATACAGATAGCTGAAATCAGTTGCGTTCTGTTGGTCTGGCTGTGGTTGGCTGCTTTTCTTTGCACCACCTTTTTGTTTGGATTTATCAACAACAGCATACACAGGCATAACTGCACCATCTGAAATAAAAATTAAATATATCAAAAACATAAATAACAACGAAACAAATAAGCAGCAGAAGCTTCAGAATTTATTTGCTTTTGCCTACAGGAAAAAGAATGACCTCATATTGAAATTTATAAACTTACTTTAAAAACATGAAACATACTGTCAGAAAAAAAAAAAATTCTCTTTGAGACCGCTGGATCAAACCACCCTTTCCCCTCTGGCAAGGCCACTGTTAAACTGTTACTGAATGGTTGAGATTTTTAGATTGAAACAGCCTAGGTAGATCTCTTGCATAGCTTGAAATTGCCATCAACCCAGAAAAGGTACTCAGGAGAGACCAGGGTTGACATTCCTAATATTATATATTATAGACTGGACAAAATGTGACCTACGACATCTAGAAACAGAATGTTGGCTAAGTTTAGCACATGTGTGTGGACACTCAGCATGTTCATGCCCAGCGTGAGACTCAGACTGCCTTGAGTCATGCTGAGTGCTGGTCTGAACACAGCTTTATCTATGTTGTAATACATTAATTTACTAAATGCAAAGGATAAAACAGACAGGTTGAAAAGGTTGCTATCTCATTAGCTGTCAGTCTGTATTACAATGTTAATCACACGCAAATTTAATCTCCGCAACACCATACTCATACGATTAACATTATAATCACCTACAAATTATCACCATGCTCAAGCCCAAGGTTTCTTTAAGGGCGAGTTACCTATGAAAACCAGCGGTCCAGGGAGAAAATGGGACCTATATTAGGGTCCAGGGGAAGAGATTTTGAGAGGGTTTAAATTTAAATACCAATTTGATGGTATTTGATGCAAATAGTTGGGAGGTTCAATTGGTTAGGAGGGTTTGCTGATAGGGTTATGCTCAACCATAGAAACCCACTCACCTGAGCCCTAGTTATGAGCCTGATTGTACCAGGATAGAAAGCTTGCTGAACTTGCCCAGCAATATGATTCTACGGTCGGTGCACTATTGTTATGTTAATGAGTCATTAGGCAAGTTCTGCACATGCTCAGATGGAATAAATCGCATCTCTCCTGTAAAGATCTTGGTTTGGGGCCGAGGTACAAAATTGGATGGATGGAAATGGTACTCTTAACATATTTTAATTTATAATTTTATTTTTTTTCTCCATTTTTGAAAATTTAAATTTAAGAGGGTCTTCCCCACCCCCTCGAATCCACCTATTATGACATTGCAGGGCAACAAGATCACTTTTTTCTTTTGGTGAGGGATCACAATAATATAATATTAACATATCCAGGGATCAGTAGCAAGCTTTTAGCATACAGCTAGCTTGTAAGAGTACACTGTGCAGTTTGTAATTTAAGTCTACAGTAAATTTACTGAAGGTACATTAGGTTTAACGTTGTCTATCTACAGGACGCAGACAAGTCAAATCTCAATCTGTCATACAATTACTAACATCCTTTCTGGAGATTCAATTTGGGGAGGCTAACACTTGGCTTGACTACGATGAATGTGCTACTTACTTTAGATATGTCTTATCAACCTATTTCTCCTCAACCTATTTCTCCATTTTCAATCAAATTAAAGTATAGAAATTTTAAAGCCAGCATCCAGAGGGAAAACATAATTGTTAAGTTGTACAACAGAATTTTCTAAGACACTGAAAGGCTGTTTCATCAAAAACTTGAGAATGGTTAATAAGATAAATTGTTGAATATTTAAAAAATGGTAGAAAATTAATTAACATTCTCAAGTTCTGGAAATGATCAAATAACAAATAATGTCAACTTTTTTGGTAGTTAATTTCATAAAAAAAAATGTATGCATGAATAAATTTGAAGGCAATTTAATGCAAACCCATTATTAACTTGACTCTAAGAGTGTTGTACTTTACAGTAACTAAGGCCTGAGATTTCTAATTTTATTGAATGACCCCTCATTTTGAAGATTACATACTCAAATATCTGAAAATCCCAATAACTTTCAATAAATTTCAATTTTTGCAACAACTTAACCATTTGCCACAATATGCCTCATGTATAACATTACACTAATCATATGTATTTCACCTTAATTTTACTTCATTTCTTTAGGCACGAGCGCCAAGAATATGCCAATCAGTGAACTTAATCACTATCCTACGTGTCATATCCATTAAACAATAGGGGACTGAATGGACCAGTACACCGGGGTAACCTCTACTCTTCTCGAAGGATGTACTGGGTTCTTTAAAGTGCACACCAGCCAAAATAGGGGGAAACTAAAACAATGAAGTGGTTAAAAACAGTACCATAAGGCGAAAGTAGTGTTGTTAAGGGGAAACTAAAGCGACGTTAAGGGGAAATCATAGACAAAAGAGTTTCCCCTTAAGAGCCGAATAAAGGTATA